TAACTTTTCTACTGCATGTTATTACAAGATAGTGCACTTTCCTTAATTTAAAACTTCTGATTTAGTCTCAAAATCTGGTTCCTATTTTTGATTCAGATTGTACATGCTTATTGGGGGGGTGTGATCTTTACTTGCATGGTATGCATTATTATTCAACATATCACATAGTATTACCTTCCCCATAATGAAATCTTGCCCAAATTCTGTGGCTTTGTTATTCTAGCTATGTGTTGTCAAGTTTTTTCCAACTAACTGCCTCTATCATTAACAGCCATGCGCCTTTTATTCAATCAGTGCGTCTCATGTTAGGTCTTGCTTCCACCTTCCGCTCTTCCTAGCATTATTTTCCTTTATTTTCACAACATGTCCAAAATGTAATAATCTCAATTTAATAATCTTTTTCTATTGAGAATTCATGCTATAACAGATCTATAACCCATTTCTTTATCTTCCTGGCAGAGCGTGGTATCTGTAAAGCTCTCCTCCAACATAAAATTTCAAATGAATTGAATTTTCTTTATTGGTGAGGTTTTTTTATTGTTCAGTTTTCTCATCTATACATTGTAATTGAAAATATCAATTGTATGGATGAGCTTGCCTTTGATTTCCAGCAACACATCCTTGCTCTTACTGAACTCTTCTACTTTTTTTCATTGCTACCCTTCTAGTCACAATTTTCTTCTGATTTCCTGGCTACAGTCTCTGTTTGGACTGGTGACTGAAGATTGTATAATAAAGTCCCCAAAGTATGGGGACTCTATAATAATTTTGTTCACTTTATTGTCAGCAATAAAGTTATATAATTCTTCTGTATTCTTTATATTTTGGCTTCTTAACATTGAACTGTAATCCTGCTTTTGCATACAAAATACAGGTCATTCATTCTGTTCCATTCATTTTACTTATGCTCCCTTTTCAAAATTGCTTTAATAGTGATTTGAAATCCTTCCTGTTTTTCCCCCAGTAGTGTGGCATCATCTGCATATCTTAAATCACTGATATTTCTTCCACCAAGAGTCTCTCCTCCTTCATTTGAATCTAACCAGCTTTTCACATGGTATGTTCTGTATACAGATTGAACAAATAGAGAGATTAAATACAGTACAGTACATCCTTTTTTCACACCTTTGCCTTGAAACTATTCCATTTCTCTATATTCTGTTATCAGTAATATCCTGTACAAAGTATAGGTCACACATGAGAACAATTAAATGCATGCCCATTTCTTTTAGAATGGTCCATAGCTTTTCATGACCCACACAGTCAAAGTGTGGGCAAAAACTGTAAGCACAAAGTGATTTTTCTCTAAAACTCTTTGGTATGCTGCAATAGTGAACATATATTTGCAATGCACTCTCTAGTGCTTAATCTTTTTCTGAAAACAGCTAGAACACTTGATATTTCTTGCTTTGGATATGGTAATAATTTTAAAATCCTAACAATCAGTTTACTTGCATGGGAAATTAATTTGTGACTCTGTCTTTTTTTCTTTAGGCATGGGTGCTTATATTGAATGTTTCCATTCTGTGAGCCATTGGCTAAAATTCTGTTGCATAGTCTGCAGAAGGCAAACAGCATAACTTGCAATGGCTTTTCTCTGGCAATTAATGAATCATCACTTTGATTTTCAGGCATGCACCAACCCACTGGACTGGCCCTGGAGAATCCTGGAGAATCCAAGCAGATACTTGTTAATTACTAATGAGAAGTGGCTACAAGTTATGCTGTTTGCCTTCCACAGATGTAACTATTCAATAGAATTTTGATGAGGGTGTTGTATATTTATTTTCATAATATTTTAGGTTTTTAATAGATTCAGTTTCTATAGCTTGAAATAACTCCATTGGTATCCCATGGTGATTTATTTCTTCCAATTGTTTCAGATAAACTGTGACTCTGTTTTCTAAAATTGTAGATTTTTCATCAAAGTATCCATCTTCAAAGGAATCTGTTATACAAAAGATATTTTCTGTTCCATAGTATATAGTTTCTATCTGCTCTTTATTTTATCCTGATCAGATAATACTGTATATCCCCCTGTTGGTCTTTTGGCATCCTAATCTTGATTTAAATTTTGCATTGATTTTTGGGATCTTATTGAAAAGATATTCCTGGTGGCAATCCCTAGTACTGCTGGACACAATTTGCTGACCTCCTGGCTGGCATGAAACTGTTCTCTTTCCCAGTTCTCAGTTGCTGCACTGTCTGGTTTCCCATTCTGAGACCCCAGTTATCGAAATCCTTTCCGTGCCCCCTTGCACTGTCAGCTGGCTGAGAATCCATTCTTCTGCCTCCTTCCAACCCTCATTTGACCTGCCCCTGCAAGATCACAAAAGCCCAGTTCTTGGCTTCATGCTGTGGTCCTCAGTCCTCAGGGAAAAGTATGGTTCTGACTTGGCAACTGTAGCAATGGGTCTCCTCAAGAACATAGCACAGGGATGCATTTCAATTACTTTTATGGGGTTTTTTGTTGGTTGGTTTGTTTTTAGAGGGTGGGAGGGAGAAAGCCCAAAAAAGCATTTGGGGAGAGTGTGTGGCTGATGGAATATCCCCAAGAAGGACAACTGGATCCTGGGGCCCCGGGCTTTCCCATACCTGACTTAATTGTAGAAAGGCTTGGAGTCCTGATTAGAGATAGGGATGACTCACCATTTTGGCAAGTCCTGCTTCATGATTTTTCAAAAGTTAACAAAGAACAAAGCTTTCCCCATGAACACACGAAGCACAAATTTATTCATTGATTTGTAGGGGGTACAAAAAAGCCTGACGCCACTGCCCTGCTCCCTGGCCCCTCGTGCCTTCATCCCTGCACTGCCACCGCCCCCCTGGCACCACCACCGGTGGCCCCCCCACCATAATCGTCAATGCTGTCATCTCCAGCTGGCCTCCGCAGCCACAGCCTATAAAAAGGGACACTGGCTGCCCTTTGAAAAGATGGTGGCTACAGCTTCATTTAGGGTAGGGAAGCAGCAGCTACCATCTTTGCAAAGAGCAGCCTGGATTCCCTTAAGGCAGGCTAAGGGAATCCAGGCTGTCCTTTGCAACAATGGAGGCTGCAAGTTCCCTACCCTAAATGTAGCCACAACCACCAACTTTGCAAAGTGCAGCCTGTGTCACTTACTGCAGTCCGTGGTTGTGGACACCAGCTGGAGACAGCGGCAGTGCTGGATGGTGACAGCAACTAAGGTAGGGAGAGGAAGGGGGTCCAGAACAGGCTGTGGGGGTGGGTGGCTGCCTATCGGTCTGCCAATTAGCTGATTGGCAGGCTGGTAGACAGAATGGGAAAGCAATAGGAAGAGAGGGAAGGCTAGCCTTCCCTCTCTTCATATGTGGGACAAATAAAAATGGGGAAATATTCATCCCTTCATATTTCTCAGGGTCTCTGGAACCCAATAATATGAAGGGACAAATATTTAACGAATCAGCGATTTCTGACGAATATTGCGATCCATTTTTAAATTCGTCCCCATGTCCTGATACATTCCTCTGCAAGTGGTAGAAAATCATCTTCTTCTCTTAGTGGTTTATGCCCCAAAGTGGTGGCAGCCATCATTCCTTGCACCTCCTTCCATTTCCTGAACAATAAATGCAGCAGACTATCATTTCCCCTTTTGTTTTAGGGAGTTATCCATTCTACGCCTAGGTTGCTTAGAAACAAGTTTCCAAATACTCTTGTTCTTACAGTGACTGGCATTCATCATTTCTTCCAATACAAATGTTCAAAATCCTTTGGAGGAAAAAAAAATCATACGCAGAGGCCAGGAGGATAGCAAGAAAAGCCCCATCAGCTTTCAGTGACACCAAAGTTTGGAGAGGTAGAGGAGAAATGAAATGAGCTGTCCAGATAGGGAGGAGAAAGAAACACATAGAAGACAAACATTTAAAAAGGTGAAAAACTCTTCCTGCAGAGATCAGCGGAGAAAAAGTCTGATGCAGGAAGATGAGATTGGACACAAGTAAAGCCCCAGCTCACCTCACAATGGAGGAGAGGGATCACGAAACAGGCCCTTGGAGACTAACCATGTTCAGCATAGGTAATGGGTTTACATGACCTGTTACCAATCTACCATCCCAAAGTTTTTTGTTACCACTAATCGTATGGCAAGACTTTACAGGTTCAGAATTTTGTGGAGCCAGACTACTTCCCAAACTCTGCCCATGCCCTGGAGCCTCTCTTGAAACTTCAGAAAAATAAGATCTGACATTTCATCACATGTAACAGTGTTAGTAACATTATTTCTTCTTCTTCTTCTGCAGTGATGATCATTATTATCCTAACCAATTCAGCTAAAAATAATGCAGTACTGTACTATAATTCAGTTTACTCCATTCGTGAATTTATTATTTATTTATTTAACTTATATGCCGCCCACACTACCCAAAGGTCTCTGGGCGGCTTACAACATTTAAAATACAATAAAAATTCAGAACAATTAAAATACAATTAAAATATATATATAAATTGCCATCGGACCCACAGCTAATATTATTTCAATTAAAAGCCTTCTGGAACAGGAAGGTTTTGACCTGGCACCGAAATGTCATCAGCGTTGGCGCCAGAAGAATCTCAGTCAGGAGGGCATTCCATAGTCTGGGGGCAGCTGCCGAGAAGGCCCTTTGTCTACAAGCCGTCCCTCTTACCTCCTTAAGGGAGGGCTCTTTCAAAAGGGCCCCCTGGCTAGATCTTAACTGCCGGGTAGGTTCATATGGAAGGAGGCGGTCCTTCAGGTATCCAGGGCCCAAGCTGTTTAGGGCTTTATATGTCAAAACAAGCACTTTGAATTGGGCCCGAGCAGCAACTGGTAACCAATGTAGCTTAACCAGAATTGGCTTGGTATGTTCCTTAGTGGCCGCACCACTCACCAGCCGCGCAGCTCGATTCTGGACCAGTTGCAGTCGCCGGACCATCTTCAAAGGCAGCCCCACGTAGAGCGCATTGCAGTAATCAATGTGGGGTTATATCTGTGTGTATGTGTGTTTCTGCTTTTTTCACACTGCAGGAATATCTGGATGTTCTGGGAAGACCCATGGTCTTGGCAGGAAACAAAGCAAAACAGGTTCAGTGGACCAACGTCTATCAGGATGCTTTGGTAAGAAAGACAGCTTTATGAGCTCTTAGCTACAACAAAATGAAAGATGACATGGGTAGGCGGATAAGGCACACAAAGAATTTTGAGATATAATTTCTTTGTGTGGGATTTTTTAAACAAATTGTTTTCTTTTGCTTTTGAACAAGTAATTAAAATACAGCTGCCCTGCAGTGTCACAGTTGACATTAAACATATTAAGCACATTCAAAATGTCAAATAGTCTTGTCTCACAGTTGAAGACTGTTCGTTACTTTCTGAATCCAAAAGGGAGGTGGAGGAAAAAAAAATTATGGAACTTTTCAGATAGCAACATGCCTGAGACATATCTAACGCTGAAGCCCCCTTTGAGCTGCGGGCCCAGGCAGAACAACCCTTCAGCTCCCTGTCCGGTTGAGCAGGTGAGACCCCACAACTGGACTTTAATTTTCTTTCACTCATTGGTCCCATATGCTTCAACATAATTTAAAAAAGATAAAACTACTTGATGTCATTGCCTCTTCAGCGACCCAAGTCAGACATCCCTAGGTTGATGTCTTCCTGTGTTTTCTTCGGAAACCAGACTCTTCAAAATTTAATCTACAGTCATAAGCATGAAATGCGGTATTATATTTCCTCTGCCAGCTAGTTTCCAGTATGTAATCCTCAATAATTACCGTACATCCTTGTTTTTGATAGGGCCTGGGCTTGGTGGTAACAGGCACTCTGCCAGTGTTCAATCTCACGGAGGATGGCAACGGTGAAAGGAAGGTATGTGTTTGTCTTAAAACATGCTTCCACCCAAATCTACTGACTTTGCCCATCCTACAGCCTGTCCATTAGGGATCCAGAATTGTTAGGGAAGTTTGCTCCTGTGAAGTGTGTGTGTGTGTGT